GTTTTGAAATACGAGAGACGACTATTGACCCCGTTAGTCTTGGACATAATGCCTATTTTATTTATTTCTTTCAAATATTAAGACGTGTCCAATTTTTATGAATACAAAATTGACAGATGAAACCTTGGTTGGCCGGGAGTGGGAGGTGCGGCCATTTAGTGCATTGGTCTATCGAACTGCACTTGGTATACAGAAGCAGGAAAAATAGGGAAAAAACAGATACTCACAAGCAGGTGGGGTGGGTGGGGTTTTTTCCAATATTTTAACTCACATGGGCCCCACCCCATGTGAGTTATCTGTGAAAAAAACAGAAGAAACAGTTCTGTACACTCAGATTAATTCTTGGTCTATCATAGTCGAACCTGAGGAAGAGGCCCAAGAGGCTGTCGCTTAAGGCCCAGTTCTTTAGGGGGTCCAAATTTTTTTTTTTGCTTCTTTCTTGATTTTAAAAATTCATTGTTGTTTATATTCATTCACACTTGTTCGGTTGCACCGAACGATGAGATTTCTTCAATAATGATATCGTAAATCACATAATTAATTAGTATATGGATTAGGAATACTCATTCCATTGTGTAATACCTATAGGTATATATTTATGTATCGTTATACACATCTTTGTTGATCGGATCGTTTATTAATCATAGTCTTTTTAATTGCATTGACCAATAGATATTATATATTTAATTGATTATGGTATAGTTTTGTCTCTAAATTCAATTACATTTTTTCAATATCCCGTTGATCTGATCATTGATTCGTGTGTGAGATTGAATTTCTTGTCGATCTATAATATGTTATTAATTAATGTGAATTTGTCCCTTCTATGAAGTAATTGAGTACAATATGTGCTTAAATATAATGTGATTTAGCCCACATTAATTCTCGTTATTTTACATTTTGGCTCATTATTCAACCCAAGTTTGTGTCATAACTGTATCAACTTCTGTTAATATCATTTCAAACGTGAGAGAATCCAATAAAATCTTGTGAACCGTTGGAACCCATTGACATATATGCCCTCCATTTTACTTGTGCAATACCATTCTTGCCACTGCCATCAGTCAACCAGATGGCAAAACTAGGTGCATAAATGTTATTTTATGCATTAACCAACTTAGTAGTCAAACCCATGTGAATCACATAATTGTACTGTTTGCTTTCTTTTATACGTGGGGCCCGACAATTTGATAGTAAATTTGGAAAAATATTATTTTGAATAGTGAATGTTTGAAGAATGTGTAGGTAAAAAGTAGGAAAAAGTTTTGAATTGAGTTTAAAATATTTTCTTGCGTGAATGTGTGATTGAAAATAAGTATATAAAAAAGAGTTTTGAAATACGAGAGACGACTATTGACCCCGTTAGTCTTGGACATAATGTCTATTTTATTTATTTCTTTCAAATATTAAGACGCGTCCAATTTTTATGAATACAAAATTGACAGATGAAACCTTGGTTGGCCGGGAGTCGGAGGTGCGGCCATTTAGTGCATTGGTCTATCATAGTCGAACCTGAGGAAGAGGCCCAAGAGGCTGTCGCTTAAGGCCCAGTTCTTTAGGGGGTCCAAATTTTTTTTTTTTTTTTTTTTTTTTGCTTCTTTCTTTATTTTAAAAATTCATTGTTGTTTATATTCATTCACAATTGTTCGGTTGCTCCGAACAATGAGGTTTCTTCAATAATGATATCGTAAATCACATAATTAATAATAGTCTTTTTAATTAATAATAGTCTTTTTAATTGCATTGACCAATAGATATTATATATTTAATTGATTACGGTATAGTTTTGTCTTTAAATTCAATTACATTTTTTCAATATCCCGTTGATCTGATCATTGATTCGTGTGTGAGATTGAATTTCTTGTCGATATATAATATGTTATTAATTAATGTGAATTTGTCCCTTCTACGAAGTAATTGAGTACAATATGTGGTTAAATATAATGTGATTTAGCCCCCCATTAATTCTCGTTATTTTACATTTTGGCTCATTATTCAACCCAAGTTTGTGTCATAACTGTATCAACTTCTGTTAATATCATTTCAAACGTGAGAGAATCCGATAAAATCTTGTGAACCGTTGGAACCCATTGACATATATGCCCTCCATTTTACTTGTGCAATACCATTCTTGCCACTGCCATCAGTCAACCAGATGGCAAAACTAGGTGCATAAATGTTATTTTATGCATTAACCAACTTAGTAGTCAAACCCATGTGAATCACATAATTGTACTGTTTGCTTTCTTTTATACGTGGGGCCCGACAATGTTTTAAAAAGTTAGAAAATTTAATGTGGGCCAAAACGAGGGCTTAATTTTTTCCATTTTATTATGTTACATTACGAAAATATTTATCACCTTAGATGATGTATCATTATTGTTCTTTCAATAATATTTTGTTTGTCTAAAGGCAGTAAGTCCTGTGCAAAATGAGAAAGTGTGTAAAATCTAACCATTTTTACAGATAAAAAGTTTTATTTTCTATTTTATGTGAAATTGAATTCATTATGAGTACGGATTGTATTTACCATATGCATATAATAGAAAGAAATCTTCTCCCACTATAACTAAGTTAGAAACATTGATAATCATTGATTATTTTTATTTTTTTCCCTTTTCTGTTAATAGATTGTTTGGACATTTTTTTCACAAATTTGGCTTCATGGATATCGTATAACGATCTTGTAGAATAGAAATAAAAATCTTGTTTTGATTTTATACATGTGAAATTGAATATTTAGGAAAGTGGCTAAATGTCAAACAAGTCAAATACCATACTGATTACAGCTACATCAGTAGAAAGAAGTTTGTCCAACTTGAAATTAATCAAGATTTATTTTCGATCAACTATATCACAGCAAATATTGAATAGATTAAGCATGTTATCTATTAAAAAAAGAAATGGTTGAACTATTCGACTATTCAAAATTGATCAATATTTTTGTCTCCAAGATCGCAAGATGAGTTGTATTAAAGTGATCGTTTAAAATATTTTCGCATTGTTATTTGTTGTAATATATATATTTTTTGAATATTACATTTTTTTATTTTATTGTTATTTTAAGTTAACAAATTTAGTTCCATAAATTCTTATAAATGAAAAAATTGATTACTTACTGCGATTTAGGAGTTCAAGTTCTAAAATTCATGTCAGACCCCACGAAGCACATGCACGACCCTGTGGTCTTGTCACAAAAAAATAAAAAAAGCTATAGAGTCGGGGGATCACCAACATGCATTCTTTTAATATTTTTTCGATTGGAAGATTTTGATTCAATTATTATCTTTAAAAATATATATATCAATAAAATTTCTGAAGGAGGTTCGGAGATTAACGTGAGGTGACAGCCCCATCTATGGAAATATGAACTATTTTAAAGTTTCAGTATTTTATGGTAACTTTAGGAAAAAAAAAAAAAAATTCTCTATTTCGATTAAGGTTTTTCGAACAAAAACATGTAGTCTTTCGAAAACTATCTTAATATATTAAGGTTTTCATTATATTGGAAAATTTTGATTCAATTATTATCTTTAAAAATATATATATCAATAAAATTTCTGAAGGAGGTTCGGAAATTAACGTGAGGTGACAGCCACATCTATGGAAATATGAACTATTTTAAAGTTTCAGTATTTTATGGTAACTTTAGGAAAAAAAAAAAAAAAAATTCTCTATTTCGATTAAGGTTTTTCGAACAAAAACATGTAGTCTTTCGAAAACTATCTTAATATATTAAGGTTTTCATTATGTTATTTTAAAATTTTCTATATAATAGGATTCTTTTATAAGGTTAAGTTGGTCTTTCGAAAAATGAAACGGGAAATTAATTATGTCTCATGAATATCGAGTATGTAGTGTTCAACTTTTTACTATTTATTAGTGGATGAATTGGAATGAGAAAGGTCTTCGTAAATTTCGTATTTCCACGCTTCTAGATGGGTGGAGGTTTAATTTCAATGTAATAATTAAATATTGATTTTTGCATGTGTCATTATAAGTGCATATTGTGAAGTTGTCGGTTCCATGTGAAAGCTATGCATGAATTCTCATACTGCAATACCTATAAATTTTTTCGTCCTTTAGTTATAGTTGATTTGGTGGTTAACTTAATAATCCAGTAGTTGAATAGGATTGTTTTTAAGTATTAGTAATTGTGGATTCTTGAAAACTTATAGATAATAATAAATTAGTAGTAAATTATGGTTATTCAAAATGAGTGGATGAAAAGTATATTTGATCGTTTATAAAATTAAGTTATGCTAAACACCTCTATGTGTGTGTTTTTTTATCTGTTCAATGAAAAAACGACACTTGTCCCCCTTGTAAAAATCCAGTCATTGACCCTATTCTCTAGCAGGGTTGATGCTCACGTAAGCTTATCCTATGAATCTTATTCTTTCAATCAGGTCATGATTACATAGCCTCTTTTAAGCTCGTATAAAAGTTTCACCTAATATTTGCTTTTTAGAACGCCACTATTAATTGATTGTGTACATGCGAACATATACATGAGTTTAGATTTTTGTGTCATGCCGACACTTCAAAAAATAAGCTTGTAAAATTAATAATTCATAAGCTTTTATTGACAATTGAAATTGACTCACAATATTCTAATCTTCTCTTTATAATGCCATAAAATGTTTCAAATCTCGCTCGCACTTATGACTATAGTCTATATGTCATGTCCTTGATGACGAAGACGACGATGACGACAACAACAACAATAATAATAATAAAATGACGACGACAACAACAACAACAACAACAACAACAACAACAACAACAACAATAATAATAATAATAATAATAATAATAATAATAATAATAATAAAGAAAAAGAACTGGGTTGTACAAATATGTTTAGATAAAAAAAAAAAAGTCAATTAATGCGAGTAAGCCCTCTGGTTCAACCTCTATATATAGAACCATATTTTTTTCATTTGCACAAGTCACTCCACACACACACACACACTCAAGACAAAAGTAGAGGCAGAAAAATGGCAGCAATTGCTACTGACCTCCCCCAGCAACGAGCAGCCACTTCTGTGGAACCGTCAAAAATGAATGCTGGTGTTAAAGTACTGACTGAATCTACTGATCTTAAGTCCATCCCTTCTGAATTTTCATTTGTGAATGAACCCACAGGCTCATATTCTGATTCGATCCCAATCATCGATTTCTCCTTACTCACCTCTGGAAATCCTGATCAAAGGTCCAAAGTCATTCAAGAACTTGGCAAAGCTTGTGAAGAATGGGGCTTTTTTGTGGTACAATATATACTCTCTCAAATTTTTGTTCTTTATACTATCCAGTGTCATCCAGTACCCTGTTTTTCTGTTCACAATAAGTAGTGCATGCATTTGTACTTGTTAATTCTTGCAGCTGGTAAATCACGGGATACAGGAAACCTTGATGAAGGCAACAATAGAAGGGGCTTTGGAGTTCTTCGATTTGCCGGAGGACGAAAAGCGTAAGTATGAAGCGAAGCATGTTTCGGATCCCCATCAGGTATGGCAGAGGCAGTGTCTACTTCGGACAAGAAGATTTTCCTCTGGAGGGATTTTATGAAGACCTATGTCCGTCCTGAATTTCATTATCCTCGTAAACCTCAAAATCTTAGGTATAAGCCTTTCTTAGAACAATAGGAGTACTTAATTCACATTAGAAATAAAAACTTAGGAGGAACATAGCTCAGAAATTATGATATAACTTATCATGTTAAGCGTTCGTATTTCGTTGTAGGGAGATTATATTTGAGTACGCTGAAAGAAGCCGATTTGTAGCAAGAACATTACTCCAAGGGATGTCTGAAAACCTGGGATTGGAAGAAGGATATGTGGAAGAAATCCTAAAGTTGGACTCAATGTTCCAACTATTTGCTGTAAATTATTATCCACCTTGTCCACAGCCAGATCAAGCAATTGGGCTCCCACCACATACAGATCATGGTCTTTTGACCTTTTTGATACACAATGGAGTGGCTGGACTACAAATTCAACATAATGGGAAGTGGTTTAATACAAATTCACCTCAGAATTCCATTCTAGTTAACACTGCCGATCAGCTTGAGGTAAATCTTTTTTCTTCTACCGCGAAAAATCAACTTTGAACATGTGCTAACTGCAAAAAAACAGCAAAAGCTACTTAAAGCTTAGCCAAACATTCTCGAAATTAGGATAGTTTTTACTTTGCAAATCAAATCAAATGGTGTTTGTTGGCAGATATTCAGCAATGGGAAATACAAGAGTGTGAAGCATAGAGCTGTTGTGAATAACCAAGCAACAAGAATTTCAGTTGTTATTGCCAATGGTCCAGCACCAGATGCCATTGTTGGCCCAGCTTCACCATTAGTACAAAGAGATGGGCGTCCACTGTATCGACCATTCAAATACATAGAATATGTAGAAACACAGCTCAGTAATACAGTAGATGGCAAAGTGAACTTGGATTATGCGAAGATCCAAGACAACTAGATTTCTCTCCTCTTCTCTTCTTTCATACTCCAGTGTTCCTATACTGGATGTTGAAGATCTCAGTGTGAAAAATAATGTAATGCAAGACAAGTAGTGTGTCGCACTCCTCTAAATGATAGTGAAGCTAGTATAGTCACGTTGTCTGATGAATAAAAATGCATCACAACTTCATTGGAAAATGTGACAATGGTCTCACTATTTTTTAAACTTGTGTTAAACATCACTTGTGTTAAATAATGTTATTCTTATGAAAATAAAAAAGATTATTATGAGTTATTATAATCATATTATACAATAATATTGACTGATATTTTGTACCTTTAAAATCTAACTTCTCACATGAACGCATTGGTGTGTAGAGGGTAAAACTATTCATCTCGTAATAGTAGTAAAACATCAAAAAAGTAGTGATTAAAAGCTTACGTAAGACAACTTAATTAATTTTTTTGCTCAAATTAGTATTTTGTAGTTTTTATGTATATAGATTGCAAGCCTATATATAACGGAACTAACTTTTATCAATATGGGTGGATTACTATCATACGTTAAACTAGATAAGATAGAAATTTAAATATATTCAATGACTTTTTCATTTTTACAAACCTTTTTTTCTTAACTTTTTCTTAATCATGTGAAATTCAACTTAATCCAACGTAACAAATATAATCTCTCAAATTCTTGAAAAATGAAGAAAAATTAAAACTCGGATCCTTAACCTTTAGAAATGAGTCAAGAACGAAATGATTCTATTTTCATGAATATGATGAGAGTGTAATTCATCATCTCTACCGGCCTTTGATCAACCTGGGATTCAGTGCCGAAAGGTGAATATGTTTGCACTTTAGATAGCCTTTTTTTGTTGCACAACGGCAGAATCTGAACATTCTTTTAAATTTTGATCTAAACTTGACTTTGCTCGCTAAACTTGTTTCTTGACTTTGCTCACTAAGTGCAACTCTACATAATTGTTCTATACTGCTTCTTTAGACCTTAGAGTTCAAGGATAGAGCCATATATCAATGTATACGTAATGAGAGCTATTTTTCAAATTATATCATTTATTAATTCCTACCCACATCAATTATAAGTCGTTGAGGAAAGAAAAAGTAATCAACAACTTTTTATTGTGGATATATTTGAGTCAAAATCAATAATTAATTTTAATCATATATTTTATGGGATAATTTTTTAACTACGCATTTTATCAATTCTTACCAAATCTACTAGAAATCAAACATTTAACTATACCAAACAAGGGCTAAATATACGTTTCTTGCCAAGTTGAAGTGGACTGAATATGGCTAAATAATAAATGATTTTGGTGCATGTATATTAATATTTATATGATTGATTACATAATGTCACACGGCACTCTATTATTTGTCAGTTGAAAACGTAATTAACTTTTGTATCCAATATTTTCCTGCACATCATATTATATGATCTATTATATACATTGTTTTTTAATGTATAAGTAGCAAAATCCGATAATAAATTACTAATTAGCGTAATTTAATACTATGGGGGTGTTTGATGCATATTATTGAGGAAAAATTGTATTTTAAATAGTGATGTGATGGAAAATGTATTGTTAAGAAATAAGGAAAAGTTTTGAATGTAGTGAAAAATATTATTTTATTGAAAAATGTATGGTTGAAAATGAATTTTGAAAGAATATGAATCAAACGATGCTATATTCTAAACATAGATTTGACAGTCAAATTAATTGAGATGAGAAATTATTTGAATAAAACGTAGATTTGACTGTGTAAAGCAAATTATTTTTATCTAATTAATAACATTGAATTATTGTAGCCTGAACCCACTTCAAATGTGAAAGAAAGAATTAAATGAATAAAACGTTGAAAAGTAGATGAGAAATTAGCACTTAAAATGTCAATTTTTAGACAAGACATGATCTTGTCATATTTGGTGAAACCAAGCCAAAAACAAGATGTAAATGTAAAACATCACAGTCAAACACAGACAGAGATAATGTTGCTTATTGGGACATGGTTATGTGGAAAAATCAAAGTTATGAAAAAAGAGGGCTAGATGAGGAGATTTAATCTAGTTATACATGATGAAATTTAGTTTGAAAGAATCGAGATTCTTTTTCTAACTCTTTTTTCCTAATCAATGATCGTTTCTTCAAACTTGCAATTGTAAGAACAAGAAAAATGAAAACGATGTCAACAAGTTAGGAAAAAAGTAATAATTATTAAAGTTTCATGTACCCAGAGGCACATAAATTCTTCCCAATACCACCTACCCTTTCCTATTAATATAGAAAATGAAATAACAAAATTCGACCCAACTAACATCTAGAGAGAGACAAATAGATATAATATGCGGAATTAAAAACTAACGAATAATAACATGCAACATGTCACAAATTATTGTATCTAGCTAAATTTTTAAGTCAGTTTCAATCAATTGAGAAAGAATTTTTATTTTAAAGCAATTCATACACATATCTTAAACATGAATCATACGCATGAGATTTGCTCACTGGGCGTTAAATCATTCCATGTCACCCCTTCCCATTTTTCAGATAATAAAAGCAAGATAATTCGATACAACGACTTGTGGTCACACGGACTCAATACTATCATATTTAAAACTTGTTTTGTAAATAAAGTTAATTTTTAATATGAGTGTCTTATATTTTTATAATAAGTCATGTTTATTATGTTGAAGAAAAATTAAATCATCTCTTCGCATTTATGATTTTAAGAGAAAATTAAATTATAATACTTTCAAATCTAGATATCTAGATTTGGAGCTGTTATAGTTTCACTGGTTCGAGAATATTAAAATTCATTTTAGATGTATTCATAGTTTATGCCTAATATAGCCTAATGTTGCTTCTAAATGTGATGCATGCATGCTACATTTTAGTTTCTCATATTTATACTTCTATGTTTGAGATAAATATAACGAGAAATAGTTTGGCAATTTTCAAGAGGTAGTTTCAAGTATTTATTTTATTATTAATGATTAAAATAATAAATTTTATTAAAAGTTAAGTGCATGTGTATTTTTTGAAACTAATTAATACATTATTTGAACAAATCGATTGAGATTTTTTATTTTATTTATTTTGTTTTAATTAATTAGGGAATGTGATGTTTTTAATTAATTATGGATGGACAAATTTCCTAGAATATTAATTTAACCGTTGTAACTTCTTTGGTTTTGACACGTTTTATATATACTAGTGAGAAGCACGTGCAATGCACGTACCATGATGTAATTGAATACATAATAGTGTAAGTATTAAAAACAAATATCTATGTCAAACATTAGTTACATAAAATTTTCTTATAAGTTGCTAAATGTTTCGAGGCAACATTAAATGTGAAGATGAGAAAAATCACACTCACAGTTATTGAAGAAATCGAGGTTCACCTTCCACCACAGCCTCCAGTTATCGAAAAATGTCTTCTCACCAATCCCCGATATTCAGTCATTGTCATTTATTTCATAAATCCCTAATCAATTTTTAAACAAAAGAATAGAGAAAAAACTCAAAATAAATAAGTTTATTATTATCACATTTTAAGTTTTTTTAAAAAAATTGAAATCAATTCAAATGGATATTCATATCGTGAAATATCGAATCAAACGAAAAATTGTAGTAAAATAAAGTTCGAAAAAAGGACATTGGAATGAGGTTGAGATTGAAAAGAAATATAAACAATCACGATGTTACGTTTCACAATTAATGTAAAATTATTTTGATATTTAAAATTTATCGATCATATATTTATCATGGCTGCACTTCAACATTTCCAACAAATTTTAAATCGCTTAAGAATATTTGTAACTTAAAATATTGAATCAAACGTAA